TACAGGACATGTCACAGCCCAGAAAAATAGGCACAGTCCTCTTGAGTAAATAACACAGAGACAGGACTTTCTAAAGAGAATCAGAAAAGAATGGGTATTTATAAGAACTTCAGTTTCCGCTTTTGAGTTTTTATCACTTATTTCCCAAAGATAGATGTGTGATTTTATCCACTTGTATTCTCCTAAGACAGAAATGGCAGCACAGTTTGTGGCTTTGAGACATCCATGAAAAGTGACCTCTCTCCTACCTGAGCTCAGTCTTGATAACTAACACTCTGCCCAGGTTGCTGAAAGAAGGTAAACACCTGACACTTTTGCACAAGGAAAGAATACAATTTAATAACACTAGAGTAAATTCTGACAGGTAAGGCTGCATTATTATATCAGGAGTGTAGATTCAGATAATTACTTGTTCTGCTTCAGTGACTCAAAAAAATCTTGAAGTTACAGGATCAGCATGACGCCTGGGCAACTAGACAGGGGTCAGTAATGCAACCCTAAAAATTGTTCTTAAAGTGATTCAAAAATTATAATTAAAAAAAATATATATTATACCTAACTGCTCTGTGCAGTGGTTTTACCCAGAGCAGCCCTGATCCTCTCTTTTTGGATCCTGCAGCAGCAGTCCTGGCTCCTGCTCCTTTCCAAGTGACCCCAATAGCAAGCCTCCTGCTATGGAGACATTCAAGCAGGCTTGCTCACAAGCCATGCTCCTGTGAATGGAGATTGTCCATTCATACACAGAGCGCAGCTTTGCCCCGCCCCCACTCTCTCCTCATTGACTCACTGGCTGTGATTGACATCATCAGGAGTCAATGGTTCCTGCTGCTACTTGAGCCAATGAAGAGAAAGAGACCTGGGAGAGCTGCTGCTACAAAAACCCCTCTGTCTTTTTAACCACTTTAACGTAACCCCTTGGCGCCGTCGCCTCCTGGCCCTTTAAGGGTTTCAGAAGCCGGGAGGTGGGGGGGTTTAGGATCATGTGACCGCCGTGACACACCGACACGGCGTTCACATGATCAGGAAAGGTCCCGATCGAAAGAGGAGATCAGGACCTTTCTGTGAGTACCGGACATATGTGCTGGGAGCGTGCAGGGTGCGTGCTCTCAGCACACATATTCTTTTTTAATAGAATGCAAATGTAAGGCCGCTTGGTGTCTAGGCCCAGACACCGGGAGGCTGCACATTTGCGTTCGGCCGGCGTGAAGAGGTTAAATTTGCTTTAAAGTTATTGTCTACTGTACTAACCATCAGCTATATAGCTAGTGTATCTACCTCACCTAATTACTAAACAAGGTAAGGTTTTGCTTAGCTGAGTACTCAGAACACTTCAATACCCTGAGGGGTTTTGACCTAAACATTTAATGTACCAAATGGCCTTGACAGGGTGAATATTGAGGAAAACCTTAAAAACGCATACTCTATATCACAAAAATAGCAAGATATAAAACAAATATATGGCACAGTTTGTATGCCTTTGCATTGTTATCTAAATTCTAACCTAACTGTATAGACAGGGAAAAGAAAGATAAATTACTTTTTTACTCTAATCGCATTACAATATAAAGGGTGTCAGGTGTATGGATAACTGGGCCACATATATAACAAACAATATGCTGCTGGAAACCATAAGAAGCACTTCAGCTAACAAAACTTTGATAACACGTTTTAGTCCAAAATAGTGTCTGTGGTAAAAGTCCTGTAAACAGTTTGTTGCTTTGTGGAGTGATTTGAAATTGTGCCTCTGTGTACTTTCTGACTCTAAACCCAGTGAATTTCTTTCAAGAGTACAAGCTTCTGTATCCTTTATATAAGTTGTTCAGTAATGGATGACATTCATGCAAACCTTTTCTAGGCCACACATTGCATTCCATCTAGGTGGCCCAAGGGTCCAAATTCATGTATGGCAGCAGGAAATTCATTATCACAAGCCCAAACATTTGTCAGCAACTCCTCAGGAGTCAGACACAGATTCCATGTTTTACTCCTCCTTAATGGACTTTAAATGTAAAATGGGTTTCCCACTTACTGAATAAAAGCAACTCAGCCACTAATATTGATTTGTGCAGCAAAGCTCTGTTTATTAACAGTGTAAAACACCATTTAATACATAAACACTAGTTTCTAAGAGATACAAAGGCAAAATGGCTCAACTGCTCAATTTCCATGATGGGAGCCGTCCCATGACAGGTTCAGCTAGTGTCCAAGGCAAGGATGCAGAACTGTACCCCTTCCCCCACTGTTAATGTACGCATTAGAATGGGTTTACTGCTCTGTGTCCATTCTCTGCCCCCTTGCTCCTCTGTGCCCAGGGCAGATGTCCCTCCTGCCCACCCTCATTCCCAGCCCTGGATGGGAGGGTTTATGCTGGGTTATCTTCCTCTCATTTACAGCAAGGCACATATTAGCTCGTAATGGTTCAGGTCTTATAATATATATGTTAAAAATAATCAGTTTATGTTACAAAGGCACAAGTTCATCTTTATACGCTAATAGACATCACTGTACCTTTGACTCCTTAAATGCCATAAATTGCTCTAAAAATATGCTTCCTCCAAATGAATTGTGAATGTCTACTAGGTACTTTTCACCCCCTTCCTGCCCAGGCCAATTTTCAGCTTTCAGCACTGTCACACTTTGACAATTGTGCGGTCATGTAACAATGTACCCCAAAATATTTTTTGCATTTTTTTTTGAGACATATAGAGATTTCTTTATGTGGTATTTAATCACCACTTTTTTTTTTTATTGCTAGACAAACAAAAAAGGTCAAAACTTTTTTTTTCCATAGTTTCTAATATGAATTTTTGCAAACAGGTAACTTTTCTCAAGCCACATCATTCATTCACAGTTCTGGGTTTTAGTTCATAGATCCTCCTGCTCTCAAGTAATTTCCTCCTGCCCATACGAGTGGTACAGGAAGACAGCTATCCCTATAGTCTGCAGGCTCCTTAGAAAAAAAATTATAAATGCACTTTTCTTTTACCTTGAAGAAAATGTGCATTTTTTTTTTCCAAAATGTGATCTTATCCTTTAAATGGTCTGCATAATAATATGTTAAGGCAAAATTTTCCAAAAAAAAACCCCTAAAAGAATAAAACCTGAAAATGTACTGGCATTAATCTAAAAAGGACATTTTTAATTTCATCATATTTATGATTTTACAGTTATGACTTTAAAGCAGCCTCTCAGTCCATAAAGTAGACACTGACCCTGGATAATGCTTGAACAAAGATGGCTTTGTCCTTCCAGAGATAAAAGCAGATGAATGCATTGTCAGTGGGAGTACTGTGATCTATATGCAAGTTAATAAATATCTGGATGATTCTGCACTTTACATGAAATATTTCTAATGATAGATCCACCAAGGACAGTTCATTTTTTTTCATAGCAAATATGAAACTAATGATGGCATGGATTAAAAAAAAAATCAACTAGATTCATCCATCAACTCTGTACAGCTCTGGTGAATGAACCCCTGCTGTAGCTGTCAAAATATCCGGACGGTGGTTGCATTCGATTGATGCAATCCTATGGAACTACTATTCAGTCATCAGTTTTCCACCCATCTCCTTCAGTTTTTTTTATTCAATTACATGGAAGGGGGTCAATTATTCAATTACATGGAGGGGGGTCAACAGGGCCACCCTGTAAGCAATTTCATCTGATTTCATCTGATTTCTAAGGTACTGGATGAATATCATATAGTGTATGGTCAGATTTAGACCCAGATTTAGTTTTTATGTAGCTGTATTGTAACATTTCAATGTAGGTGCTCATTGGATCCCCAGGTCTTTAAGGACACTAGGAATAATCTTGCTTGTGTGACAATCATTTTCTCTAGGGCTGTGAGTGACGAACACTACACCAAACTTCTCAAGTTCCAAGTGCAAACCTTTAGCATGTATTATATTAAACTCACTGAGCTTTTTTAAGGTCCTTGCCCCTCCTTCTGTTGCTTGCTTTTCAGCATACATCATTTTTTTTTTAATAATATTATTTACCATTGCTCTCTCTTGGAACTACTCATCAGAGCTAAAAAATGAACTCCAATAATTTAGCCACTTTGCAAACTGTTCTGGATTTCTAGGGGTTAAGCCCAACAAGGTGCATTCTAACTCATGGACTTATTTTTTACTGAGTGCTGGGAGCATAGCAGTTGTTATACTTTTGCCACTCCAATGCTGGATCTTCTGGCCTCAACTCCTGAAGCTGCAAAGTTGTATGCAGCCACTCTGCCCAGCTGGGTGTGTAAAGGTTCTGCTGTATGAGAGAGCAGTGCCTCTTCTTGCTGAAATCCTGGAATTTAGCTGGAAGTTTCATGCAGAGTATTTTATTGCCATTCCTGTTTCGGTTGACCTGGACCCATGGGCTACCATTTTAGGTACCAGACTTAGTCCTTTCCCTAAAGTGGTTCTAAAGGTATTTTTTTTTTACCTCAATGCATTCTCTGCGTTAAATAAAAACCTTCTCTGTGCAGCTCCCCCCCAGCTCCCCTTACACTTACCTGAGATCGCTCCCGTTACTGTCAATCACAGTCATTGAATGGGGTGGGGCAAATCCATGCTCTGTGTGTCAATGGACATACAGAGTGGGGCTTGGGAATGAGCCCGCATGAATGCCCCCATAGCAAGCGGCTTGTTATGGGGCATTCGGCAGGGTGAGGAGCCAGGAGAACTAGAGGGGGACCTGAAAAGAGGAGGATCAGGGCTTCTCTGTGCAAACCCATTGCACAGAGCAGGTAAGCATGACATGTTTATTATTTAAAAAATAAAAATGTATCCTTTAGAATCACTTTAAAGATCATACCAAGACCAGGGGCGGACTGACCATTTGGAAACTTGGGCACTGTCCGAGGGCCTGGGGTCAGTAGGGGGCCCCATGAGATGCCCCTGGTACCTTTTTCATAGGCTTTTTTGAGTTTGGGCAAGGACACAGGGACCCCATGATCCCCTATTGCCCGGGGGGCCCCATGAGTTGTCAGTCTGCCCCTGACCATGACCTTAACCACTTCCCATCCGGCCATTGTATATAAACGGCCAGACGGTGGCAGTGCAGGGTCGGGTGGCCTCCCCACACCCTGCTTGTGCATGCTCCTTGGGAGCGCGCAGCACCACGATCTGGTGCCCACTGTGTCCGGAGACACAGTGGAACACCGATCGTCGGACGGGACCTCTGTACGAGGTCCCGATCATGTGATCACTGATTGGCCAATCAGTGATCACATGCAAAGTAGTAAGCAAGATGTCACTTCTGATATCATTGCTTACTACGTGTGAAATCTGTGAATGATCACAGAGGTCACATGGTACAGGGCTATTCACAACAGCCTTGTACCATGTGACAAGCTGGGACCAATCACAGCTAGAGAGAAGGAGAAGAAATGATTGCTTTTACATACTTTATGGATGTAAAAGCAATCTGTGTAAAAAAAAAAAAAAAAAAAAAATCTTCATCACCCCCCACAAGTAGTACAGTGTCACCATGGTGACACTGTACGTCTAGGGTGACAGTATGTAAAAAAAAAAATAATAAATAAAAAATAATATAAAAAAAATCTAAAATAAAAAATGTTTAAAATTTATAATTTTGGTTATAAACTAATTTGGGGTTTTTTTTTTTTTTTTTTTACTAAAAATATAACGGAATAAATTTTGGCCAAGATTTATGATGAAATACTATTTATTTGCAAAATATTATAAGAAAAACACTTTTTTTTTTTAATTTTTGGACTTTTTAATTTACATAGCAAAAAAAAAAAAAAAATCCCAGTGGTGAATAAATACCACCAAAATAAAGCTTTATCTGTCTCAAAAAAATGCTAAAAAATTAATATGGGTGCAGTGTTGCATGACCACGCAATTGTCATTCAAAGTGTGATAGCACTGAAAGCTGAAAATTGGCCTGGGCAGGAAGGGGGTAAAAGTGTCCGGACTGGAAGTGGTTAATGAGCAATCAAGAGCTTTGAAGGGAGGCATGATACCCTATTTTCCTCTGCTCTTTCTCTGCTAAATATTACCAAGTGTGGCTACATAAAGTCTTGTTTTACCCAAACAGTGGTCCTATCTATGCAAGAATGTGCCCCAAATCATGTAAAAATATTTCTCTCTGTGGCAGCTAACACTTGTGCCTTTTTATAAGGAATGAACTGGCCTCACTCTTTTTATATATTATGCACAGCTATTTAAAGTATTTAGCCAACACATGCAGTTTAGTATGAGCAAGCTGTATTTGCCAGATGCAGATAACTGATATTTCAACAAGCTACAACCATAATATAATATGATCGATCTGCTTTTTATTTATCTGTAGCAAAGGATGGTTTGCCTCACTCCCTTGCAATTTAGCTGCCCTGGTTTTAGTATGAGCAAGTGTCCCAGGGAAAAAATTCAAGCTACAACGTTTGCATGTTTTTCTTTGTGCTTCCACTGATTTCACTCTCCAGGTGCTCTGGTTTTATATTCCTGTAATTCAAAAAATTCAAAAAATATTGGAAGGCTTTTGTTGGCTTTGACTTCAAAAAAATAAGCCAGAATCAGTTAAAAATATAAAAAGAAAATAATTGAAGCAGTGAAACACAGCAGCCTTAGTCTTTAGCCATTACCACTTTTAATTCTACAGAATGAATTTAATTTATATTCAGGCAATACCTAGCAGGGTGACATCCTGTGTCCACTGTATAGGCCAGCATGTGATTCATTGACCAGCTGTAGCTGTCTTTATATACTACCATGACACCACAGAGAACTGTAACAGAAACACTGTCACTAAGCAGTTATGCACAGTGTGTTAATAGCTGGATTAAGCAGAATACTGTCCAGCTGAGCCCATCACTGTTTACTGAAACAGCAGCAAAGGGTTTATGTCTGCAGTTCATAGAACATGTGCCTGTGCCTAATATATATATATATACTGCTTACACAACTGTATACATTAAACAAAAAAACAAAAAAAAATGATAGTACAGTATATCACATTGTGATTGATGTACACCGCCAATGATACAAAGAGCGGAGATGAGCTGGTAGTTGAAGAATGTCCCCTAATTCACCTTGACTTACACTCTAATTATGCTGTATCACAGAAAAGATTGCACTTAGGATGTGTAATTCCCTTAAAGTGCACCTGTCACTCACTACTTTTCCTTAGAGACTTTTATCATGCTTGTAAGCTGCTTCTGTAGTTTAGTAGACTTCGATTGTTGCTAAAACTGTTTTCTGTTCATATGACAGTGTGCCTCATCCAAGCATTGAACGCAAAATTGGGCAATTTAAAGGTTTTAAAATCTAGCATGCCTAAACACTGTTGGCTTGTTCACACTGCTCATCTTACTCTGTATTTTGTAGTGAAGATAAAATGTAAGGTAATGAAGAAAGTAATGCTTTCAAATGATCCTATTCTTAGATGGGCTCTGTATTGTGCCTCTTAGTAAAATATCATTGTAATAGCTGCATTTTTGGATGTAATAGACAGCAGTAACCTCTCTCTTGGTGTACAAGTTCTCTGTTCTGTCCTCACTACACATTTCCCTGTGTGTAACATGACATGCGTTTAAACTCTCCTATTCTGCTATAAGCCAATAATACTAAATTTATTCTTGAAGCTTTATTAACAAAACAGGGTGAGAAAAACATAATAAATACATACACAATGTATGAAACAAACAAACAATGAAATGATGAGGCTGTAGATGTCAATAAGTCCATGCTCGCCAGTGATTCTACTTGTAGGGAACGTAAGTTCAGTTCACAAAATGTGCATGAGGGATAATGGCTGGTTGTCAGGAGTCAGAAGTTGTGATGACCGGATCTGTTTGCTGCACAAGGAAAACAGGGACCAGACCATACAAATATATCTTTAAAGTGAGATGTGTTCACAGTGAAAAAGATAACCATACACCATCAAATAGCAAACATAAAATAACCCACAACCAGAAATGCCTGTCAGGGCTCCAGGTATGACCAGAGGTGTGTGGACTAACAAAGGGAAACGCAGGCTTCAGATATGGTATAAACAATATAATTTATTAAGACTAACAATACAAAATGCAGTGCAAAACTAAACATTAAACACAGTGCAAACAAACCAAACCACCCACCGATAACAATACATACAATACAAAGAGTAGTCAGGCAGGCCGGGTCAGTAGCAAACGGGCAAATGGAGTACCAGGAACAGGCGGGAGAGTGGTAGGGGTCACAAGCTGGGTTCAGTAACTCACGGGCAGCACGGTACAGAGGGTCAGGCAGAGAATGGTCAGGGTAACAAGCCAGGGATCAAGCAAGAGAAGTCAGCAGAGGTCAGGATCAGGCAGGGTCGGCAACAAGTCAGACAGGAACAGGAATACAGGATACAAGGTACAGGGGCCCATGGAAAAACACACACCAAGGCCCTGACTGTGAGTCTGGCCATTCCTTAAATACAACCCCTGCAATCAGCTTCAGGTTTTTGGCTGATTGCAGGGGTGAGTCTCTGATTGCTGAGAGCACCCGCTGGCCAGCCCTTGTACTGCAGCCCACAAGGCAGGTGAGTCCCACCATTATTGGCAAGTCCATTCCTGACAATGCCTTAGTAACAGAAAACAAACAAACAAACAAACACTATTCAATATACACAAAATATATACAAAACAGGAAGCATGGGTAACAGGGAAATTCCAGGGATGCAAGGAAAGGGGAAATCAGGACTGGGTACAGGAACAAGGGAAGTAGAAATTATGCAGCAGGATACAGGATGCAAGGCTAGCTCAGGAGCAGGATAAACAGGCATATGGATCTGGCAGCAAGAAATGCAATCAAACACTGGCGCAAGGAACAGTTGCAGAGGTGGCACTCAAGTACTCTCCAGCATCTGGGGCCAGGTGGAACAGATTGCAGGAATCTGCTGGCTACTGGGAGCCACCTGCTGGTGGTCACCGGAACTGCAGCTATCATCCCAGAGAACCACAGTGCCATCAGCAGGTGAACTTGGTCCTAACAATGGGTTCCTTTACCTAAATTTTTTTAAAATGGAGTCTGTATCCACAACGTCAGAAGCTTCACATCAAGATACACACAATGCACAACCTTCAAACTCTGATCTGTTTTTATCCCTAAGGTCTTAATCATAGAGGTTTACCCCTAAAGGACTTGAATGTTCAGAAATAAAAGGCACCAGAGAAAGGAGCTTGAGTGGTGTTCGTGAAACATAGTTAACAAATTTAAAGCGGTTGCAAAGACTCAACTTTTTTTTACCTCCATGCATTCTATGCATGGAGGTAAAAAACCTTCTGTGTGCAGCAGTGCCCCGAGCCTCTTCAATACTTACCTAAGCCACCTTGAGATCCAGCAATGTGCACAACAGCCTCGGCTGTCCTGGGTCTCTGCCTCCTCAATGGCTGAGACAGCAAGCGGGAGCCATTGGCTCCTGTTGCTGTCAGTAACAGCCAGTAAGCCAATGAGGAGAGAGAGGGGCAGGGCCAGACCTCGGCTCTGTGTGTGAATGGACACATGAAGCAGCAGGTGCCTCTATAGCAAGCTGGGCACCTGACAGAAAGGCGGAACCAGGAGAGCCTGTGGGCGACCTGAAAAGAGGAGGATTCAGGCTGCTCTGTGCAAAACCACTACACAGAGCAGGTAAGTATAGACATGTTTGTTATTTAAAGAAAAAAAAACAACTTTTAGTATTGCTTTAAAACAGTTGTAAACCACATACATTGTGTGCACAATTATTAGGCAAGTGAGTTTTTTTACCAAATCATCATTTTTATGTCCAACTCCAAGCTATATAAACTTGAATGCTTATTGGATTTAATTTTATATCAGGTGATGTGTATTTGTGTAATGAGGGAGGGTGTGGCCTAAGGAGATCAGTACCCTATATCAAGGTGTGCATAATTATTAGGCATCTACTTTTCCTCAGGCAAAATAGGCCAAAAAAAAAAGTTTTAATTGACTCTGAAAAGTCAAAAATTGTAAAACGTCTTTCAGATAGAGGAAGCACTTTTGAAATTGCTAAGATATTGGAGCGTGATCATAGAACCATCAAACATTTTGTTGCAAATAGTCAAAAGGGTCGCAAGAAACGTGATGAGAAAAAAAGATGCAAATTAATTGTCAAAGATTTGAGAAGAATCAAACTTGAAGCTACCAGGAACCCATTATCCTTCAATGCTGTCATATTCCAGAACTGCAACCTACCTGGAGGGCCCAGAAGTACAAGGTGTTTAGTGCTCAGAGAAATGACTAAGGTGAGGAAGGCTGAAACCTGACCACTATTGAACAAGACACATAAATTGAAACATCAAGACTGGGCCAAGAAATATCTGAAGACAGAT